CGGGGGTGGGTGGGGGGTGTCTGTCCTCTGGCCCTCCTAGGCAAAAGCACTCAAGGCAGGCCCCCTCCTTCACAATTTGGGGTGGGCTTTCCATTCTGGTCTTGCAACCTGACTTCCCCCCTTTGGCTCCTTGGACGATGGCCTGGGAAATCCCCCCACAAAGCTCCCCTTTGTCCATCATTCGTCCATGCTGGAAACTGAGCAACCTCAGGGTAGATACAGGTTTCTGACCTGTCTGCCTCCCCCCCCCACCTGCTCCCCCGGTCTTCTCGGGCCCCCGGAAAGGGCCCTTTGCAAACCCCAACGGGGCCATGGGAGGGCCCAAGGACCACACTCTGCTCTGCTGGGTGAGGCTGGAGAGCCTCCCCGTCCCACCAGGGGCCACTGGACAGTGTGCCCAGGGGTCACCCCGAGAGGCCTTTCCTCCTGTTCCCTTCAGGGGGCAGCTTCCAAAGAGTGCTTGCTAACCCCCCCACACACACACACACACACACTCACCGCTTCGTACTCCTGGACGGTGGCAAAGCGCTCCTTCTGGATGCGGGTCATGTAGAGGACGTCCGTGTCCGGCAGGGCCTCTTCGATGCTCTCAAACTCTTCCTGGAAAAGGCCAGAGCCGTCAGCGGGTTGGGGGGCGCAGGGGGAAGCCGAGAGGCAAAAGCCGCCCCCCGCTCCCCGCACAGGCCCTCCCTCCTCACCTGTCCCCCTCCTCACCTGCTTGACCCCTTTTGAAGCCACGAAGTGAACGATCTCGGGCGGCATGCCCAGGCTGGGAGGCGTGACGTAGCGCAAGCTGACCCGGTAGAGGGTCAGGAGGCGGGCCAGGGAGTGCACCGTGCGCCCGTGCTTCAGGTCGCCCACCATGGTGATCTGTGGAAGGTGGCACAGCCATGAGGCGGGAGAAGGAAAGGAAGGGTGAGGGCCAAGGGGGGCAAGGGCCTCAGGCGGCCAGCCTTTTGGGGGCGGGTGCCCTACCGTCATGCCATTGACTGTGCCCAGCTCCTCGCGGATGGTGAAGATGTCCAGCAGCGCCTGGGTGGGGTGCTCCCCGACTCCGTCCCCGGCATTGATCACAGGTTTGCGGCAGTGCTTGGCAGCAAGCTGGGAGGGGGAGGGGGGCACAAGACGGAGGGAGGGTCAGCCTCTGCCTCATCAGGGCTGACTCCCCCCCCCGCGCCACCCGCAAGGCCCCTTACAGCCTCTGTGGGGTAGCGGAGCCAGGGATCTCGGGGTGGACGCCCCTGATTGCTCTGATGAGCAGGGTCTGAGACGTCCCCCTCCCTCAGGCCCCCCTGCTCCCTCCAAGAAAGGGACTTTTCAGGAACAGCCTGCTGTAGGTATTTTATTTATTTAAATTTTTACCCCAGTCCACTACTCTTGGCGGCTTACCACATCACACCACAAACATAAATAAAATCCAATAATACAAATTAAAAGAGCAAAGAGAAGAGACCCAATCTTGCCCTAATTATAAATGCAAACTATGGGTAGCCCACACCTGCTGCTATGCAGGCTTCTGGAAGATGGATGAGTCACTGTGAGTCAAAATCAGTTTGATGGTCATCACCATCATCATCATTACTACTACCGCTACTGTTGTTATTGATCTTAAATGGACACTTAAGAGCCATTATGGTTACAAAAGCCAGCTCCTCGCCTGTCGACAGAGCTGCCTGCATTTTTGGATTGTATTTATTTGGAGGGTAGTTACAAGGACGGTCCAAATTTGCCACTGCTCAGCCGTCAGCAGCTACGACGGCCCCCTTTTACGCTCTGCTCCCTGCCCAGGAACGACAGACTCATATAATGCATATAAGGGCAGGGCTCAGATCCAGCTGTGTAACCTCTCGCTCCCGTCCCCAAACAGCTGGATTCAGCAGATCAAGCCGCCTCTCCTCCACTCTCCACCCACTTCTACTCAGTTTTGGCTCAGCGGCCGATGCCAAAGGTGAGGTGGCCAGCTGGAGGGCTGGACGGTCCAAAGAACATAAGGACCAAGCAGCCAACCAGGATCGTGGTGTCAAATCCCCCTGCTTAAAAGCCAAGGGAGCCATGAGCCCAAAGAGCCTTGTGGCACAGCAGTTAAACTGCAGTCCTGCAGCCAAGACTTTGCTCACGACTAGAGATGGCGGCACTCGTATTCGTATGCGAAGCCACTCAAGCAGCCTTGCGTGGAGACTCCTCCTCCCTCCCTCTGTCAGGAGCGCGGGGGTGTGTGTGCAATGTGTAGCCTGCACAATTCAACTGTAAACCACCCAGAGAGTGCTTTAAGCACCATGGGGCAGTATATAAGCAGCCTGTCTTGCTTTGCTCTGCATCTCTTAGGAAGCCGCTGAAAACGGCGGGGGGGGGGGGGAGGGGGACCTAGCCCATCTGAATCAGCCAGATGGCTTTCAACTCTGCCCACAGACCACATTCTTCTAAGGCTTACTTGGCTTTTATTGGTTTGGGAACCATTCCTAGAGGCTGGACTCCCCCAGGTGTCTCCCCCCTGGTCCTCCACCCCCACCCCCCGCCCCCCATCCTTACCTCCACAGCCCCTGGCTGGGGGTGCCTCAGGACCAGGACGTCCGCATAGCAGCTCATGGTTTGGACCGAATCGGCCAAGGACTCCCCTTTCTGGCAGGACGAGGTGGCCTCTGAGAAGGAGAGGACGGAGCCCCCCAGGCGACACATGGCGGCCGCGAAGGAGCTGCTGGTCCGGGTGCTCGCCTCGTAGAACATGGAGGCCATCACCTTTCCCTGCGCCAAAGGAGATTGGGGCTGAGTGCCGCGGTGCCCCCTCTGCCCGCCCGCCCGGCCCCTGGCTCAGCAGTTCCCCCCACCTTGAGGATCTCCAAGGCCCGTTCCTTCTGCACCATCATGCGGAGGTTGTGCGCAATGTTCAGCAGGTGGGAGAGCTGCAGCCAAAGAGAGAAGGGTTCTCAGGGTGTGGGCTGGAACACCCTCGGGCCCCCCCAAAGGGTCCAGGGAAAGCCAAGGGAGCCTGTGCCTACCTGGGGGTGGGGTGGGGTGGGGTTGCCAGGAGGAAGGGCTGCCTCCCCACCCAAGCTGTGACCCAGCAAGGGCGGCTCAGGAAGAGAGACCTCACCTGCCTCTGGGGCCCTTTTCACAACTTTCTCCCTGAGATCAGCAGCTGCTTAAAGGAAGGGGCAAGAAGCACAGAGGTTAGAGACTGGGGAGGGGGGGGATCCCATCCCCTCCCCTCTCCTCCCACCCTAACCCTTTCGCCCACTATGAGACGGAGTCCGTTCCACAGAACAGCCTCTCCACCCCCCACCCCCTGCTGCCCTGTCTACTTTCAGGCTTCACCTGGCAGCCCGGGGTCCGAGGCCCGGTGGATGCGGGGGGCCAAGTAGAAGCGGGCATCACTGGCCAGAGCCGCTCGCCGGGGACTGGCTGCTCGGCTTCGCAAGGCCTCCATCTGGACAGGGGGGTGGGGGCGTTCTGGAGTCTGCAAGAAGGGGAGAGGGGTGGGTTACAAGCACTGGCGGGGTGGGGTTGGGGGTTCGGGACTAGGACGGCACAACCTTCAGGCCAGAAGCATTCGGCCTGATATGCCCCCTCTCCCCCTCCCAGCCCCCACCTTCGCTTCCCTGCTCCAGGAACAGCAGGTGTGGGCCCCTCGGCAAAAGAGCCTCCCTGAGCGCTCTTATTCCCCCCTCCCAGATCAGGGGGGAGGAGGGGGTGCCCCCACCTGGGGAGCCTGGCGCCAGCCCTACCTTGAGGATCTCTTTGGCCGGGGCTGGGAGGGGTGGTGCTGCGCACGGCCACTTCCGCACATCTTGCCCGTAGCCCGGGGGCACAAGAACCTGCAGNACGCCTCCCCTCCGCCACTGCCACGCTTCCCCCCGCCCCCCCCGGATGCAGCCCCTCCCACTCACCTGGCCATCTATGTAGGCCACCTCCCCACGGAGGATGACACGGCGCACCATCCCTTTCACACGCATCCCTTCGAAGGGCGTCCACCGGGACTTGCTGAAGGCCGTGTGAGCCGGCACCAGCCATTCCTGCTCCAGGTCCACCTGCCGGAGGGAGAAACCGCTTCCCCCCGCCCCCCCCGGATGCAGCCCCTCCCACTCACCTGGCCATCTATGTAGGCCACCTCCCCACGGAGGATGACACGGCGCACCATCCCTTTCACACGCATCCCTTCGAAGGGCGTCCACCGGGACTTGCTGAAGGCCGTGTGAGCCGGCACCAGCCATTCCTGCTCCAGGTCCACCTGCCGGAGGGAGAAACGCTGATGAGCCCAGGAGGCCGGCCAGACCCACTTCGGGGGTGGGGGGTCAGAGTTGGAATGTGCCCAGAAAGGCAAAAAAGCAAAGCATGCGGCTTATATACTGGGCCCTGAGCAGTTAAAGCACTCTCGACATGGTTTACAATTTAATTGTGCAGGCTACACATTGCACACACACACACACAGACAAACACACCCGACAACGAGCTGGGTACTCAATTGACCAACCTCAGAAGGAGGGAAACCAGAGTGAACCTTGAGTCGGCTCCGTGGGATCGAATCCAGGCCGCGAGCAGAGTTTTGGTTGCAGTGCTGCACTTTCGCCACTGTGCCCCGAGGACCTTATACGGTGCCCTCTCTGCTCCCGCAAGCTCACCTCGATGTAGGTGTCCTCCTGAACAGGCAGCCCGAAGATCCGCCGGGGGTTCTCGTAAAGGCGCTGGACCACGTCCTCCACCGTGAGGCGCCCCTCGGAGACGGCCGTCAGCAGAAGGGGCAGCATGGTCTCCAAGCCGGGGAAGCCCGGAGGGGGGTCCTTCCCCAGCTTCTCCTCCAGAGTATGGGGTGCTGGAGGGACAGCAGGAGAGGAGGAGACCGACTCATGGGGGGCAGAGGAGCGGGGGGACCCTCCCCCTGCAGCCCCTCCCCCCTGCAGCCCATGCCCACAGGCGCCAGGCCTTCCTCCATTAGGAAACCCCAGAACCAGCCCCCTCCCCGCCTGCAGCCCACAGCCGCCAAAGGGGCTCCGTAGGAGGAGACCCACGCCAAGCCACCGCCGGCTGTGCCCCGGGGCCAGGGTGGCCTTACCGTGGTCAGTGGCAAAGCAGTCCACGGTGTCCAGGTTCTCCCACAGGGCCTCCATATCCTCCCGGGTGCCCAGCATGGGCCGCACCTGGCCGCGGCCCTCCCCGATGCGCCCCAAGTCTTCCTGGCACAGGAAGAGGTGGTGGGGGGCCACCTCGCAAGTCACCGCAATGCCCTTCTGCTTGGCTGCCTTGATGATCAGGATCTGGGGGGGAGGGGAGGGGAGGGGAGGGGTGGGAGCTAGCAAGACCTCTCCTGGGGCCTGCCAGGGCCTGCCTTGCTACCCGCCACAGCACCGCCGAGGCTACAATGCCCGGCTAGCCCTCCGTGGCAGCGGCAGGGGAGGCTCTCCCGGCCACTCCTGCACCCACCGCTTCTGCCGCAGGAGAGCCCCCCCCACACCGGTGCCCCACAGTCCTCAAAAGCCCGCCTCCTGCCATGCTCACCTCCTCCTTGCGGGCCACGTGGCAGATATGGACCGGGCGCTGGTACAGCTGGGCCACCATCAGGATGGCGGCCACCGTCTGCTTCTCGGCGTGAGCCACAATGGGAAGGTGCTTGGGCCATTTCTCAAAGTGCTGCAAAGGGTCGCCCGGGGGCAGGAATTGCCAAGAAACGAGGGAAGAACACATGGATCTTCTTCTTCTTCTCACATGAGGAGGAGGGAAGAAGGGCCACCCAGGGCAGGGCAGCAGCCGCTTCCCCCCCCCCCCCGGGCCTCGTAGGAGACGTTGCCTCAGGGCTCGGGAAGGAAAAACCCAGCTGGAGGGGGAGCAGCTCAGAGGGCAGGGCCCAGCCCGCGCCCCCCCCCCCCCGCCGCCCCCCCCCCAGCCCTGGGCAAACACTCACCTCCATCCAGAGAGAAACGTTGTCCATCTTGAGGTCAGAGAAGGTGTCGTTCAGGTACATCTTGAGGCCGGCGGCAGCTCCAGCCAGCGTCCCGAGGGAGCCGGCGTTGTCGGAAGAGGCGCCCAGGTAAAGGGCAAAATCGCAGCGGGCGCCGGCCTCGGCCAACTGAACACGGGGGCGAAAGGGTTAGGGCAAGAAGAGAGAAACCACCGCCCTATGGAACCAGAGGAAGGCAGCGGACCTGTTTTTTAGATCGGGCCCTCAGGGGCCATCCTCCCACACACACACAGATCCAGGTGCCCCCCCCACAGGAAAGCCTAGGGCACGCCCCCCCTCCCCTCACGCCTTCCCACGGGTGTCTCTCCACGAGGACAAGAGAGAAGCACGGCAGGTTTCCAGGAGGGTCTTTGGCTCACAAGGTCCAGCCCTGGAGAGAACGGGGCCACCCAGGAAGCCATCAAGAGGACTGGGGGGAGCAAACCCTCCTCTGCCCGCCCCCCTTCAGCCGGTCACTCAGCCACGTGCTGGATCATGGGAAGCCCCCAAACCATCTGCAAGGCCACCATTCCCCTCACCGGCATCAGCCTGGAGGAGTCGGTGGTGGCAGAGGAGACGGGCCCAGGCCCCACCTTCCTCCCAGGGGGCTCTCAGGGGCCATGGGCAAACCAGAGGGCACCCGCCAGTGGGCGCGCTACTCCCCTCCCGCCCCGCCGCTCTGCCCAGACCTTCAGCTCCCCTTTGCCGGCTCTTACCTTCTGTGCCAGAGCCAAGGAGCCGGCGTCAAGGACCGCAGGGGAGGTGTTGGGCATGGCGCACACCAGGGTGATGCCCCCCGCCAGAGCGGCTGCCGTGCCACTGGCAAAGTCCTCCTTGTGCGTGGCCCCCGGTTCCCGCAGGTGCACGTGGACGTCGATCAACCCTAGAAGGGAAGCCGGCGACGGTCAGCGCAGAGGGAGTGGGGCCTGCTCCTGCCACCATCTGCGCTCGCCCTCCCAGAGAAGCATGCCAGGGCCACGGCTAGCCCCCCTCCGATCCATCCCCATCCAGCAACAGGCTGAGCATTTTCCACACCTTTACCACACGTGGTGACAGGTGCCCACTCAGAAAGTAGAGGGTGTGCGGGCCGAGACCCTCTCGCTTGATGGCGCCTGTGTGTGTGAGTGTGTGAGTGTGTAGGGGAGGGAGGGGTCTCTGTGCCTTCCCACTGCCCCCTCCCCCAGAAGCAAGCCCCCCTGCACCGGGATTGAAGATGAAGCCCCCGTCACCGCCGCCATCCAGACGACCTGCCCAGATGGGGTGATTCGGGGCTCGGCCGTGGCATAGCTTTGGTGTGGTTTCATTGTTCAACCGCTTTTTCATGTGGTGGTTAAACCACTGAAGTCTCCTCTAATGTAGGGAGATGGAGGAGTGGGGGTGGGGGCAAGCTGAGAAAGGGAGGAGGCAATCCACGCGGGGCAATCCCAAACTCCTCAGCCTGGCCCTCGGCAGGTGGCGGCTGAACCTTGGTCCCCAAGGCAGGAGGGAGGGAAGGTTAGGGTTAGGGGTTCGGGGCCCTCCACGAGGGTTAGGGTTAGGGTTAGGGGTTCGGGGCCCTCCATGGGGGGGGCCACTCTCCTGCTCACATGCCCACAGAGAGAGAGAGAGAACCTGCTGCGCTCCCAAAGAGAGAGAGGGAGTTCACGCCAGCCCTGGCCTGACAAAGGCCCAGCTGGGCACAACGGATGGGGTGGGACCCCTCCACACCCTCCCCTCCAGCCCCCACCGAGCCCCTACCTGGCAAACGGATGAGCTTCTGGGAGGTCATGCAATCCACGTGCATCTTCAAGGGAGGGGGGCCCCCTATCTGGCCAAGGGCCTGTGGGAGAAACAGAAAGGAAAGGTGAGGGGTCGTGGCCGGCAGAGACGCCTCTCTCCCTGACCCCCCCCCGCTGACCCCCCGCCTGCTCCCAGCCTTTCACCTCCACAAAGAGCTTGGTGCATTTGATGTCGATGATGAGGGGGACGGAGTAGTCCACGGCCAGGCGCCGGGTGCGGTAGCCCTTGGTGACGAAGGAGGAGAGCCGCCGGCCCCCCGAGTTGCGCATGGAGAGGTTGATCACCAGGTCAAAGTGGTTCTCGGCCAGGTAGTCCAAGATGCTGCGCTGCGGGTTCTCCTTGCAGGGCCCCTCGCCCGCCTCTGCCTCCTCAAAGTGCCAGTCGACCGCCTTCACCTGGCACCAAGAGGCAGCCGGGGGGGGGGTTGGGGGAGGAAGAGCGTTCAGACCTGGCAGCCCACCATTCCCTCCACCCCCTTCCAGGCCCCAGGACATTAGGGGAGTCACCCACTGCTGGGAGGGAGGGTCATCCCTCCTCTGGCCGAGGGCATGAACCATCGGGCGCCACCCCCTCCCAAGCCAGGCCCCTTCCGGGGTCTAGAAGGAAAGCAACCCAAGCCCCCCCGACGCCTTGCCCATCTTCCCTCCCTTGACCCCCACCA